GGAACAGTGTCCGACGTGACTTTTCCTTACCTCGAAGCGCGGCCGTACACGGATCAGAGTTTAATGGGCGTTTGCTTTGTCATCGTTCACGTCGAGGACACCTTGTTCGACGGTCAGCGACATTCCCGACGAAATTCCGGCTTGGATTTCGCGCCCAACAATCGCGCGAAGGACTCGTATAAGAAAATTACACGTTATTCAAAATTTCTCGTTAATGTCGGCGTAATAATAAATTATAAATTAAATAAATTGTACAGGGTGTCTGTCATTAAGTGGAACGTCCGTCACATACTTGTTTAGGATAACGAACAAAAAGCTTTAACGTGCTGTAAACAGCCATGCAAAAATTTCAGTTATTAATTATTGAGAGTGTACAGGTTTTAATTAATAACTCCAAAATTTGCACTTTTTTGTTTATATTGATCTAAGCTACGAGTAAATGACGGATGTCTTACTTAGACGGACACTTACAGAAATTATCCACTTGCATAAGTTTCCTTTCCTCGTTACACATCTGTACATATATCTAAATCAACACGATAAAAGCTAACGTTTTGGTACCTCCGGTGTGTCGGGCACGAGTTATTTGTTGCCGTGCTCTTGCGAAAGTAGCAGGTCTTGAATTAAAGGTCCCATGGGCGAAACCTTAAACCGACTTAAACCCACTTCGCCAGCCCTCATGCTATATTTTAAGCTTCGCACGTTACTTGCACGCTCGCGACATCAGGAACCACGACCCGGTGACCCCGTCGACACGTGGAAATAAATCGCACGCGCCGAGTCACGAAGAAAATTCGAGGAGGACCTCTCCGGCGAGAAAGAACGACACGGAGAGAAACGAAGAAACGTCTCTCCGGGCTCTCGCTGCGGCGGATCGACGACGCGGGTTGCGCATTTAATCGCCCCGCATCGTAATTAATTGGCCCCGGTAACGAGGTGCGCGCGGAGATCTGCGTGGCTCGCCGGTGGAATTGCAAACATTTATCATCTATTAATTAAGCGATTAGTCTGGAGTCGCTAACGAGGAAGCCGGTGTGCGAGACGGACTTTCTTTGGCGCGAGCGCCGTCGGCCAGTTTCGTACCACCGGTCGGCTTAGACTCGCCGGAATTCGAGCGTGCATAATTCGAAACGTTAAACACACATGAACGAACAGACAATCCAGACCTTCGTTTCGTTACAATCTCGAGAATGTGTATACCATAACAAATCCGAAAGGTTTTTCCGGCCAGTGTGCTCATGAAGTGGTCTATCAAAGAGAATTCGTGTGTATTTCGACGCGAATGTATTGCACTTTCGCTGTTCGCTCGCTCATTCACCTTTAGCGGGTCCAATCACGGTTTGTCGATCCCCGAGAAATAACTGATTATTTCCTATCGTCTGTTGACAGAGGGAGAGAGAAAGACGACGGTACAGTCATCGGAATATATTTAGGCCGCAGCTTTTGATTTACATTGATTTCCATCCGTTCATCGTCGATTTTCCACGCTTTCCGTCTCTCACGTTCCTCAACGCGCTCCGTGTTGATTCGGTTTGATCAACGACGCGCAAGCCATAATCACCGGCGCGCGTCGGCGGTAATAAGTCGCCTCAGCAACGGCTCGTCAAGCGCGCGACACAACGTTCGAGGGTCGACGCGAGGTGTGAGAGAGCATTGTCTTTCGATAACTCGCGATTCTGTCCGCCGGGGAAAGACGACAATCGCCATACTTTACGTCTGGATACGTATTCAAATGAGCACGTGGGTGGCGGAGAGAAAAGAGGCAGGTAGATCCGCGGAAGAATATACGGCGCTTTACGTTTCGCGCAGGTCGATGCGAGAAACCTTCCCATAACTATTCCCGCTCGGGGCCGCTGTGTGCACTTCTTTCCGGCATGGCCCCCTGAGCTCGGCAGCATCCGGGGGACTTGTGCTCGTCGGCGTGCCTTTTTTTCGGCCGCGTGGGTGACCCGCGCTGTTCCCGTTTCGCAAGAGGCGTCGTTGCGGTTGCAATGCGACGCGTCGCCCCCGCGATTTCCTCCGACGACGGGAGGAACACCGAGGCCTCTATGGGGAACATTATAGCACTGATTTTCGCGTAGGTTGACGCGACGGCTCGCGAACCGGTGACACGTGGCGCCAACGTGGCGGCGGCGGTTTCACGGTTGCGCCGATGTCGCACTCGTCTTACCCGCGCCGCGGTTATTTCTGCGGAAATGCTGCTTTATCAAGCGTTGCGCAAGCTTGCGTCACGAAATCAATCTGGCGCGCGATACGTCACCGGCCGCGACGCCAAGGAGACGTTTACCCGGACTGTATCCGCGGATAAATCGTAAAACGATCGCCGTGAACGACGACAATCAGTAGTCTCAATGGTCATAGTCATACGCGCCAAGTTTAATAGCGTCGCTCATTTCAGGACTGTAAACCGGTTTCACTCGCGAATCGCACGTTTTCCGATACCTCGTCGACGCGACAATGAGCTCGTACGTTTAATTGCGTCTGCACTCATTGATCGAGTTATTTACTATCCTCTATTTGCAAAATAGAGTGTCTGATTCTCACAGTTAGCCGTTCCCCGGTGAGAAAACGCGGTCTTCTTACCGCGACTGTGTTCCGTAAATGAACACGGGTGTCTGATGGAAAACCTTAATTTTCGAAACGGCCGCTAATTGCCGATAATGCGCTAGATGTCAGCGAACGTTATGCATAATATTTTCGAACGGAGCAGGTTTTGCTCGCTCGAGAAGCGGTTAACAGCGTCGTCAGTCTCTACTAACCGCTTACAAGACTTGATACTTCATTAATCGTTCCCCGAGCGATCGAAATCTACCTCGAGCGAAGAAGCTGATTTTCTCGTCAATTACACCTTTTATGTTGATCGTAGTCGCACAAAAATATCCGCCGTTTGGCGGAAACATGAGCGCGCATGAGTCACACTCGCAACATCCGTTCGATTTGCAATAGAATATTCGCAACGACGAAAGATCCGCAGGGAGAAATAAAGTTGAGCGCGCGCAACGGTATAAATAGCGAGCACCGAGGTACCGTTGCGCCGGGTTGAGGGTCGGGGTGATGCGATCGTGATCGATGTAGATCGTTCTTTCGATCTATCCGCGGCAATCCGTGCCCGGGCAAGCCGGTGTGTGTCCCTACCAGTCGGCCGAGCAATCTACATATACCGATAAACTACGTGCTTTTACGTATACACACAGATAGCGGGAAACCTTCCCGCGCCACATCGACGGGAGAATAAGTTATCCATACATATATAAATACATAAAACGCGTTTATACGAGGAGGGATCTGTTTCCGGGTCACGCTACGGCAGGTTGACGCCGCAGATATCGGCTCGCCATTGTCCCGCCGATGCTCGGTATCTCGATCCTCTCGCATCGATTAGCATTGATTTGTGGATCATCGTGATCGGCCCGCGGGATCCAGCGGCCGACACCGATTTACTCGGATACGTACGTAGATAGCGCGCCGCCGCGGCGATCCGCCGTTTCGCGCGGTCAAACGAGATCGAGATCGCGCGCGGCCCCACCGTAGATCTCACGCATAGGATCCATCGCGCTCCGATGTTTCAACAGTCCGGCCCGTGTGCAACCATTATTCCGCAACGGAACATTTAAGGCTCGCTTGCGCAATGCAGGGAGGGTTAATCCGGCGTCGACCAACAGGCCAAGAGAGAAAAGGGAACAATGGGTGTCTCTGGTGGAGCTGATAAGTTCCGCAGATTCGAATCCGCTCGCGCTCCTTTCGCTGTCCGCGGACGTGGCTTTAATTGCGTCGCAACGAACTCCCCTTC